CAGGAATCGAACTGTTGACCCTTTGGTTTGCAGGCTGGCACTCAATTTACTAAGTCACATCAGGCAGGGCTGCTTTTTGTATTTTTTTATACTTGTGTGTTTTTCCCTTAAACCTTAAGCTCCTCAGTGAAGGGTGTTACATGGGAAGCTCCCTTGGTTCTGAGACTACAGGGTTTGTTCAGCATCTTGAGTACTTGGAACACTGCTATGGTGATTTGCTGCTTCTAGCTACTTCCTACCTTGGAAGGGAGGGGGAGACAGGGATGCTTGGCCAAAGAATGCGGAAGGGACTAGGAGCTGGAAGCAGTGAGTGTCCCTGGGGCTCAGATAGTGCAAGGCCTAGTGAGTTGATTGCAACAGTGATGGCAAAACTCTGAAAGAAAGTAAGCACTGTAATGTGTTATACACACTTAAAAAACAGCAGAGTAGTTGCTCTTGGAATTGCTACACATGTCCATCCTAATTGGATATGCAGTTGTGCTTGACCAACCTGACAGACACATGAAAACATCCACCTACAAGGACAATGAAGCACACTCATGTTTGTAGAAGTTACTGGGTAGAGGAACCCATATGCGTGAGGAGCAGAGAGGAGAAAGGCAGAGAAGCAGAAGGAAGGCAAGGGAGAAAGTGTCACAGCTGGTATGGCTTCTGAACCAATATGCCAGCCTGGATCACTGTGTGAATAATTAAAAGCAATTTTCCCCTTGGGTGGGCATGTGATTTTAAATGTTAACACTTCAGATTTTTCCTAGTCTGTTGTCAGACCACTTTCTGGAGAGGGTGTCCTATGGATGTGCTCATAGACTGGAGTGTGAGAGCATCGTGGAACTCCAGGTTGACCTTATTTCATTTAATTCCAGAAGCAATAGGGAATGGATCTTGGAGAATCCATTACTGATCTCATGTTGGAAAATTTCAAAATAAGGCAAATTCACAGTATCTATTATCCATTAGGAACAATGATTTTGGGCCTCATTGCCTTATCAGTTGGAAAATTGTTAAGTTTGGTAAGACAGCCAAGGCTGGGACAGTTGATAAGGAATGAAAAGTGTAGGGAATACTAAGGGACCAGAGTGTGGACCTTCTGTCCCTGTGCCGATGTGTCCCAGCCTTCCGCTTTCTTTCAACCCATTTACTACAGAGTTCAGGTAATAATGACACAATCTTCACCAACCATCACCAGCACCACCATCATCATCATCACCACTAACATCATCACCATCACCACCACCAACAACAACTTTCCCATCCTCTTCAACATCATCGTCATATGGGAGACTAACATTTATTGAGTGCCTACTGTCAGTAGTGCTCTGCTTTATGTGCTTTACACATAGAAATTCATGTAGTAATTATTACAAGTATAAAGATATAATAATTATTATCTGCAAAGTACCTACAGTTATTAACCCCCTTTGCAGATGTGGAACTTGAGACATGTACCTAAGGTGACACAGCTAGTAAGTGGCAGAGCCAGAATTGAGCCCTGGCAGTCTGCTTCCCCACCCCCTCGCTTTGCTAACCCCACTCTTCAATAAGCTGTTTCTTCTAAAGTCCCACTTGTACACAATCTGTGGAGCACAAGATGGGCTCTATGCTGGTGCTGGACTGACTTGCCCTGACAGCCCTTTGGCACACATCCTTCCGCAGCACTGAGAGCTGCCCTGGGACATATAGGGACAGCGGGTCCTGACGAATTATCCTGGATTTAATGAGGGCAGTCACAGCAGTGTGACCTGGCAGATGAGAATAAAAAGTGCCCTCTGAAATCTGCAGCAAGCTGACAGGAGGGAGGGAGCAGACAATCATAAAAGCAAAGAGGAAAGAGGTGCACATAAAGGTGGGTAGAAACAGCAGAGGAGAGTGGGCAGGGAATAAACAGATGAAGCAAGACCTCAGCCACCTGAGAAGTACAGTGAAAGAAAGGAGAAAAACTCCAGGTACACGTATAATTATGGGTCCTTAACTGCAATATCCACAGAAATGAAAAGTATTTGTTTATCTCCCGATTTTCAGAATCATTCTTGGCCTAGAATTAGTAGTCTGACAAAGGTTTATTTTACTTGTTTTACTCCACTTGTACTCTTAAATGGACTATACCCCAAATTAAAAAAGACCTTATTGGGTGTCATTCCTCATTTGAAGTTGTGAAGTCACCATGCAGAGGTGAATGCAGCCTGCATAATATGTTTCATTTGTCAGGCTCAGGGATTTTTTTCTGTTTTTTTTTAAACAAATAAGTTGCCAACTTATTGAAATCTAGAATTAAAAAAAAAACAAATAAAAATATATGCCCTGCCTGGTGTGGCTCAATGGGTTGAGTGCTGGCTTGCAAACTGAAAGAGCATTTGTTGGATTCCCAGTCAGGGCACATGCCTGGGTTAGGGCAAGGTCCCCAGTAGGGGGCATGCAAGTGGCAACTGGCTGATGTATCTCTCGCACATTGATGTTTCTCTTCCTCTCTTTCTCCCTCCCTTCCCCTCTCTCTAAAAATAAATAAATAAAATCTTTTTAAATTAAAAAATAAAAATATAGACGTTCAGCTTCTGTATAGTTTAAAAGATCTGGCAACACTGACCTTACATTCCTGCAAGGAAGAGGCATGATGGTAAATGTTTAACAACTTGCTCTCCAAGAAAACAAAAATGCCCTGACTTGAAGGATTTGCCAGTTTCCAAAGTGGAAATAGTACCCCCAGAGTCAGTTTTAGGCTCTGACTTGACAGCACAGAAATGCACACAGTCAGCCCCTGAACCAGAAGACTAAAGGGCTTTCAGGTGGAGTGTTCAGGCCAGCAATTTGACTGCCTTCCTCTACTAACCCCTAATGAATTAAACAAGTCTAAGGAAAGGGAAAACCATGTATCACCACTGGGAATAAGGGAAGAGCCCAACATTTTTGTACCTTTCAGGGGCTTCGCCAGGAAACAATCTGGAAAGAATCAGCAAATGGGATCACCATCTGGCTGCCAAATGCAAGAGGTAGGAAGACTAACCAGTTTGCAAGGAGAAGGAAGTGAAGGGGCCCTGCAGAGGCCCCTGACCACCCCTGGCTCCCAGTGGCAACTGAAGATGGGTGTGGCCGGGGCGATAAGCTGGTGGTGTGAGTTCTGTTGCTATTTGGCCTGTGGTATCTCCCCTACCTATCCACAGCTCTGCATCTAGCCTACCTGTGGCTGGGACATCATGTCTGGACAAGAGGGTGCCAGCATGTGGGGGAAAGTGGGTGGAGATGCACCTGCCAGGGCAGACAGGCCAGTTGGAGTGGGAGAATGCTGCCTATCTCTGAAGTCCCTCCCCCACCCCTTTTGCTGCTCAACCCTGCATGCTTGCCTAAGAAAAATGTCAGTGAAGCTAAACTTTTTTCACTGTTTTCTGTCTGGACTTGAAAAAATTACACAAAAGGGAGCAACGAGTCCCCATTTTCTTTTTCCATGCTGTATGTATAAATATTGCTTTAGAGATAAAAATGAACAATAAGAAGAAAATTAAACCATCTTTGACAGCATGGTATGTGGGCACAAACAGAAGCACTAGTCATACAATTGATCCTGAGACCCTACCACCACAGGGCACCCCTACATTTGCTTTGTCTTGTTGAAGCAACAGGAATGGGGGGGCCCTGTAACCACAACTCCTCCTAGTGGGCAATGGCAGGACTTGGCTGCAGGAAGGAGCCCAGGAATTGGTGCTGCCAATGAATATGCCTGTTCATGGTGACTGGGGGCCATTCTGGGAGTTGTCAGGGACCAGCTTAGGCCTTTGTAGCTGTAATTAGAGAGCTCTGACTGACTGTAGCCACTGATTGTCCCCCTGCCCAGCCCCTCCCTAAACCACTGCCAAGTAGAGGGGCAATTTCCCTTTCAGAAGTCTTGAGGGTTCCCTGTTGCCTACTAAAGAAAGTATAATATACATCATGCCATTAAATTCTGCCTACTACTTGGTTCAAGCCTGCCTGTCTACATGTATTTTCTTATTTTACCTCCTGTACACCAGATCTGTGCCTGGACCTGCCCCTGGTCAGTGTGGATGGGCTCAAATCATATATGCACACATGTATGTATATACACATATATGTATATATATCTATATAAGGGGGATAATAGTGACTCATAGGGCTGTTGTGGTGTAAGAGATATTAAGAGATGATATAGGACAAGTATCTAGTACAGAACAGACTTTCAACAAAGGTTTGTTCACTTTGGCTATCCCTCCCTCTTCTGATGCTCCCAAATTTAAATCCTTTCCATGCTTGCAGGCCTGACTTTAAGATGACATGTCCAGTGTCTTGCCCCATCGTGTGAGCCAGGATTCGAATAATTTCTGAACATTACCGAGTGCTCATGTCTGTGTCAAGAACTCAAGTGGTTGCAGCCAGCGATTTTGTCCTATTCAACTGGGGACCCTATACCCTAGGCCTGAGTGCAGCACCTACTATGTTGTAGGTGTTCAGTAAGAACTTTCTGTATGACTTAAAAGACAAGTGGCAAGCTTACATAAAATCTGACCAAAAAATGACTTTCTTCATTCAATTACATTCACACTGTAATTCTCACTTTATATATAATGAAGTGAATTGGGCTGACAGAGGTGGAGCAACTTGCTGGGCTCTCAGTGAGGAAATGGCAAAGCTGGATTTTAAGCCCTGGTCTGTCAGTTTCCAAAGTCAATGCCCTTTCCAAGGAGCTGGGCTCCACCATCTGGTTTGACCCTTTCCTTCCATGCTGACACAGGCCAGCTGGCTGTTCTTTAGTCCCATTTTACAGAGAAGAAAATGGAGTCCCACAGTCAGTAAATGGATCCACCTTGGTAGGGACCTGCAGGATACCCACGCCCTGCACTCAGGTCTGATTTTAGAGGGTGGGGGAAGGGGCATGAAATTCAAGGGAGGAGGGAGAAGGGGAAATGGATGAGCAGAGGTTGAAAACAAGAGGACCTAGACTTCTGCAGTGCTTAACATGAAGGCCACGGGGCTCCCACCAACTTCTGGCCCCATACCTGCACAGCCACCACTGACAGGACCTCCACGGAAATTCGATTGAATTCATCAAAACAGCCCCAGGCACCAGTCTGAGCGAGGCCTTTGTAGATGTTGCCACAAGACTGCAATGAAATGTACAAAACTTAAATTACTATCAGTGCCTTATCAATGCACATCTGAGTCATTTTCACCCTCTTTATTATAGGTACTTCCAGACCCCTACTGACCACTGGTTAGAAACTTGTATTAAAATTTCAAGAACAATTAAAATTTTGATGGCTGTGGGTGCCAATGTAAGTCACAGGATCAAACAGAACCTTTTCAAGACACTTAGAATGAAATCCTTTTAAAATGTCATCCAGTTCACAATACTGTGGACTCTGTAGCTTTCAAAATCCCAGGAAATGAATAAAATATTATTTTTCTTGTGCCATACTGACAAAAAGCCCTCCACTCAGCCTTTGGCATGTGCTGATGAAAAAATTTATGTCTGTATCTTTAACCCCATGCCCAAATACCCAGATTTCCCAGAGTGATAGGAAGCTGGTGATGGGGTGGGAAGTAATAACACCAACAGAAAATAAACTGCAAGTAAGTCTTTCAAAAGAGAGCAAGGAGAGAATTTCAGAGGGAAGATGGTATCTCTTTCCTAAAAATAAAAGCCATTCTGAGCACTCAACACAAACTGGTAAACCATGGAGCAATATGAAAGGAGAGGTTACTGGGAGATGCTCTCAAGGTCACTGGCAGGGAGATACATACCATTAAAGTGCAGGGAACACGCAAATAGTAGAAAAGTCCCATCTGTTCCCTGAGAGGGCATTACTTGACCATTGGCTCTGTGCATAGCTCATGTGCTATGCTCAGTCCCCCTAAGAACTTTTATCTACTTAGGTTGTGGAGATAAAGCGCATAAATGAAACAGGTAAATTGCTACACAAGCTGTGGTTCCAATGGGTAATGTAAACCACAAATGTGATAGAATTCAGAGAGGAGTGGGTCACAGTGCTCTAGAAAGATCAGTTTTGCCAGAGGTGAATTTCAGATAGTATTACAGCAGCACTTTCTAAAGCTTATTTCATGATTCCATGCCAAGTCTGGAAGATGCTCCTAGCAGAGGAGTTTCTTTGGTCAAGCAAATTTGGGAAGCACTGCATTCTATAACCTACTTTTGCCAATTTATGACATGTATTAGCTTTCTAAGAGCCCTGAGAAGCCCTGCACAATTAATGCATTCAATTTTGTTATAATATAATATTGCTAGGATTTTTTTTCCACTTGTGTGATCCCGGGTTTTCTCAGAATGCACTCTGGCCAACATTAGTGGTATTGCATAGAACTCTATGGTATCTTCAGAATATACATTGGGAATGCTGGAACATACTAGGAATGCTGGATTAATGGGATAATAGTATTCATGAAGGCAGAATGGAGGGGTAAGGGCTTTGCAGGAGGATGAAAAATTATGGACAAAGAATGAGCAAAATCATCATGTTTCCAGGCCAAAATAAAGGTGCCTTTTAGCTGCAAAACTGAATTACTAAAGGGTGTCATGGTTATGAAAATATTTGAATTATTGTAAGGGAACTTTGGAGGTTTAAAATAGAGAGAAACATCAGTAAATCAACATTTTAGGAGAACTAGTCTAACATTACATAAGCTAAGTTGGACATGGGCAGACTTTGCAAAGAGATGAAAGAATAGACCCTACCTTTTTTAAGCTCCTTGAATTCAATGATTCCTCTGTTCATGCAACAAATACTTATTGAGTATGTACAATGTGCCAGGAATTATCCTACATCACCAGGAATCAAAAGTGAACAGGGAGACAAAGCCCTATTTTGTAGGGGGGGAGCTTACAGCCTAGCGTAACAGGTAATGACACAGAAATAAGACACTGTTGGAGGGGGAGAAGTCCCCCAGGAGGCTGTGGTAAGGTCGTCTCAGATTGTGTAGTCACAGGCAGTTTCTGAGGGCTGACCTCAGTTCCAGGCAGTGTGCTTGTGTGCTCATAACAACCCTACAGCTGGACATTGCTCTTGTTACATCCATAAGTACATATACCTAATATCTGAGGTATATATAGTAATATCTATTATATTTGAGATAATAATAGCAACCTGTCAAATGTCACAAATACTTAAGCAGAAGTCCAGGAATCAAAATCAATGCTCTTCCACATTAACAGTGGTTTCAAAAGCTTTTTCAAGCTGTAGATCCATTTTATCAAATGGATATACAATACAAAAACAGAAAAAAAAGTGGAGTTTTCATAGGTGGATACCTGTCACCCCCCCCACCTCCCAGTTTTTCTCCTGAGGGCTGGAACAGATACCCTGAGACCCCACCTTGTCCTATTTTTTACCCCGCTGCAATTCTACAATGGCTTTGCTATAGAATGGCAAGTTTCTGGGCTAGAATAAAGGCAAGGAGAATAGGGTTGAAGCCCTTGAGGCAAGAGGCCTGCTGAAGGAAGAATCAACATTAATGACTGAAAGGAAGGACATGAAACCATCAGAATGGACCACAAAGAAAACTGAGATGATTCGTATTAATAGGATGTGGAATCTGGTTGAGCAGAAGACAGGAGTGAGTCAGCAGGAATAACCTGAGAAAGAGCGTTAGCCAAGTATGAGAACAGGGCATTCAATGGAGGCCCTACTGCCCAGGCAAAGACAGGACCAGAGCCTTGGTGAAGCTTAAGGCATGTGTGCATCCATTGGTGCCCATGTGAAACTGAAAAACATGAAAGAGAATCAGACAATGAAGTCAAGAAGGAGAGAACAGAGTTAGAAGAACTGTGGAAGTAGAATGTTTCAGAAATCAAGACTGGGTGCTATATAGGGTTGATGCTACAGAGAAGTCAAAAGGAATCCAGATAGTGTAGGCTCAAAACCATTTGATCTTTCAGCAATAGCCTCTCCAAATTGAGGTCAAGGGGAAAGTATTGCTGCTATAATATAAAGACGACTTGAGCACTAAAACTGCAACCATTTCCAGAGAAAGTGGCTAGTTTTATATGTTTTTCAATAAGCACTAATAGAGGAAAGCAATAATGTTCCCTTTTCCTCAGGTCTTTGCACTGTTCTGTGTCCACCCCATTAGCTAATGCCTCCTACAGGAATTCCTGGGGCAAAGAGGATTGCAAGGGCCCTGACTATGGTCCACACTCTCCTTTAACTGTTCCCTGTTTTCACTGTCCATTCCTCCCCATGTTCACTAGGTGTTATTTAATTTCGTTTTAAAGCCTCTTGTTCTTCCTCTTCCATTTTTACTACCCCACCATCTGCCTCTGCACCCTCTCTGGCTGGAATGACTACAATGCTCTTTCCTCCTGGGCTCTGCCTCTGTCCACTGATCTGGCTGCCCAACAGTCTTCCTTCAACACCACTTGTTCTCATCATGCTCCTGCTTCTGTTCTGAAGCCTGTGGGGTCTGTCTGTAGCCCACTCCCACAGGTCAGATTCTCCCAGTGGCTTTGGATCCCTCCCCTCCTTGTTTAACCCCATCTCGTGTCTGCTCTTGATCACAATCCATTCTATTGCACTTGGCCATGGTTGGTTCCATGTCTATTTCTAACTTGTTCTCTGGAGATACAGAAACAGAATATGTCGCTGTGAGTGTCATGAATGACAACAGAGTGATGCCTGGTGATTGTGTGACCACTCTCCCTCATGCTCACTCTTTTTCTCCTTATCCTTGCTGAGCCTGGGGACAAGAGTTCAGGGGAACTCAGACCAGAGGCCGGGAAGGACCATTGGAGGCATGGAGAACTTGGTCATGCTTTTAAAGCAGACATTTTAATGGGTTTGGTTGTGTTAAAATGTCACATGGCTGTGTGGCACTCACCAAACCTTAAGCAGCCTCAGGTCTCACACCTTCCACAACAACTGCTGACAAGCAAGCTCTGTGGCTCTCCGTCCCACTCTGCAGGACTCCAGGGATCAGCATTTGCAGAGCTCATGTTATTCCTCAGCGTGCTATTGTCTGGTACCACCCGAATCATTTCACACATCTTTCTCATGTCTCCAAATGGACTGGGTCATACTTTATCTGTCTGTCTATCTATCTATCTATCTATCTATCTATCTACTCCGATGATGCCTGATGCAAGCTGAGCAATAGTGATATTCAAATTAACTTGATTGCTGGAGTATGCTTTGTGCCAAAGATAATTCTGAATAGTGGACAACAAAGGGAAGAAGAGCTTTGAGAACAGCCTAGTGAGGCTGTTTGATCATCAAGGATGTCGAGTGTCCTGGCAGAGAGGGGACCACTCTCCTTGTGGTGGGCCTCACCAAGGCTATTCCTGTCACTGGCACTCTGATCTGGTGCTTGCCTAGACTTACATGACTGAGCTTTGGTCACTATTCAGACAAACTAAGAGAGACTCCTCCTCTCACCCTGTACTGTTAGAGGAATTGGAGGAGATGGGAGTCAATAGAAAGTTTTGAAAGAATTGGGTAAAATGCCTTCGTGACCCCTGGCTGTTGGGCCAGTTCGCTTCTCCTGTTTGCTATGCCAGGCATAATGGAGGAAATCAGCTGATTTCCTTCAGTCAACATGCCAGGTCTTCTACATCTAAATGAGTATGCCCTCAAAAGTATTCCTCTTAGGGGACTCTACTTACATCAGCAATGTTGGCCATTGCTAAACTTTGGCAGAATCTAGAAACCTAAAATAATCTTTAAGGCTGGGATTATTTCATAATGGGGAAAAATCTGTCTTCAGCCTGACGTTAAAAAAACACAACATTATCTTAATGTGTTTATCAGTAAACCAGTAAAAGCATGTTAAAATTTAGAGTGTGTAGACCAATGGAAGACAGTTATTTTAGGTCTGAATCCTCATTTTGTTTGCTTGCTATGAGAAAACTCTATGGTGCTATAGATTCTGCAACACTCTGCACAGCAAAACTTTATACACAAGAGAAATTAAAGCTATGGGAGGTGAGTCTCATTTAAAGCATTCTAAAAGTGGTAACTGCAAGTGCTACTGTGCAGCCTCTAAAATTATTTTTAAATTAAATTTATTTTGCAATCAATACACATGAGTTATACACATAAATATTTAACCTATTCTTAATGCATTTGTTTTATTTATTTTTTTACTCTAAATTTATTTACATGCCATCCTGTTTTCACAGGGACTTTAAACAGTTAACAAAAATACATACAGTAAAACAAAATAAAAGCAATGAGTCAGCAAGGCAGCCTGTTATTACACTTTTTAAAAAAGAATGTATATAAAGATGAGTCCTGAATAGAATGTGGCTAGCTAACTACTGGTCTCTTGCTTCTTTCACTTGTCTCTGTGACATAGACCTGGGATGAGGAGTGCCCTGAAAGAAGAACATGAGCCTCACATTGTCTTGTATGGGCATCTCTTGCTAGGAGTAGGGGTTGATCTGGTCTGTCTTTAGAAGGCTCACCTGCCCTTATGGGACATTTTACCCTTGTGGATATTCTGGGGGAAATGACCATTTTTACAGAAGAGCACAGATATGATTTTTATGTTATCTTTATTTTAATAAGATGTTATATTAGCCACTCCCAAGCCTTTCTGTGGTCCTAGGTCAAATAGGGAATTTAGACCTTTGGATATATATTCAGCTTCTTCATTTTACAGATGATGAGAGGAAGATGCCAAAGGTGAATCAAAAAAGAACAGTATCTGTGGCTGCAAATCTCATCTGTGGAAGCAGATTCCATGGTGCTGAGGTTTACAAGGAGGTGAATAAGCTCCAGGAATCAAGGGTCCTGCATCTCCCATGAAGGTAGGAGCAGGGTCTCCCAACCTGGGCCTCTGTGCTGGGCCGGGGTGGCACGGATGAACCTGGTCCCTAGTCGGGGCTGCTGCCCAGTTCTGAGTTCCCCTGGGGTTGGGCCAGTACCTTGTAGTCCATCTGCTCCGAGCAGTTGAACACGTAGACCATGATGCCCAGAGCTCGGCCCAGGTCCTTGGTGGTCTCCGTCTTGCCTGTGCCTGCAGGCCCCGAGGGAGCGCCACTCATGGTCAGGTGCAGAGACTGGGTCAGAGTGATGTAGCACCTGGGGAGGGCAGAGGGGGCTGTCAGTACCACAGGTGGCCGGTGATGACCTCTGGCCCTGCCAGGGCCTTGTGAGACAGCTCTGGGAGGCTCAGGGAGGCCTCACGCGGCTTCTGTAAAGGAAACCCTAGAGCCCCCCACCCCACCCCACTACCGCCTGGTCCTCACAGTGCTATGGGAGAACTTTCTAAAGGGTCATCTGATCATGACAGTCCCTCCCTGAACGGTGCTGGTGGCTGTCTGCTTGGCCCTTCCCGGTCATGGCTCTGCCTCCCTCTCAGCTCATTTCTCAGTGCTTTCCTCTCCCCAGCCCAGTACTCCAGAGTCCATTCATGTGGAGATACTTTAGCTTGCTCAGTGCTATGGTCTGAATGTTTGTGTCCCCCGCAAACTCACAAATTCAAATCCTAACACCTGAAGACAATGATATTAGGAGGTGGAGCCACTGGGAGGTGAGTAGGTCATGAAGGGGGAGCCCTCATGAATGGAGAGCCTCAAAGAGGCTGTGGAGGGATCCCCTGCCCCACCACCACATGAGGACAAACCTAGCAGGAACCACCACCTAGGAGGCACAAGAGGACCCTCACAAGAATTTGACCACATTGGCATGCCGATTGTAGACTTCCCAACTTCCGGAACTGTGTTTATAAGGTGCCCAGTCTGTGCGGTTTTGCTCTAGCAGCCTGAATGGATTCAGATACCCAGACACACTAGGGCTGTGCTCATTCCTCCCTCCCTCTCCCATCCACCCTCAACCCTTCCAGTTACCTGGTCTTAGCCTTTGCCTCGCTGATGGCTACTCACCCCTTGGAGCTCATATTTGCCTTTATGTCACCCACTAAATATTCCCAGAACTCTTAACACTGGGGTGAGTGAGCAGAGATAACTCAGCAGAGCTCCTACTCCACTTAAACATATAATTGCATATAGTTAATGCTCATCTTTTATATGTATCTTAATAAGATACAGAAAGGTAGGGTTATGTCTTACTTATTGTTTCTCCTCCAGGAAGTAGCACATCCCCAGGCACACAGAGGACCTCATAACTTATCATAACTACTGACAGAACAAATAAACACATTCATGAATGAATGGGTCAGTCATTCAATCTGTTTAAGCCTCCTGTGACTATTTTTACTACTGACAATAAAATAAGCTCAGCTTTAAGCTTATTTTTGACACTTTAAAAAAAGGACTTATATTTCCATTTAGATTGAAATATGCTTTTGGGTAATGAGCACATGAAAAGATGCTCAAAATCATTGGTCATTAAGAAAATGCAAATTAAATCCACAATGAGATACCACAACACACCCACTAGGATGGCTATAATCAGAAAGACGGACAATAACAAACGTTGGCAAGGATGTGGAAAACTTGGAAACCTCACACATTACTAGTCGAAATGTGAAATGGTACAAACACTTCAGAAGACAGATGTGGCAGATTCCTAAAAAGTAAAAATAATTATCTTGTCCTAAGAATTTACCCAAAGGAAAAGAGAATTTGTGTGCATACAAACAAGCTCAGGCAGGAAGGTTCATAGCTGCAGTCTTTGTACACTAAGAAACTGAAAACAACCCAAGTGTCTACCAATAGTGAATTAAAAAACAAAATGATAGAGCCATGCAATGGAATATAGAGAAATGAAGTACTGGTACATGTTGCAACATGAACTCTAAAAGCATTCTGCTACGTGAAAGCAGTCAGATGCAAAAGATTCCATGTTATGTCATTTCATTTATGAAATGTCCAGAAAACCCAGAGACAGACATCAGGCCAGTGGCTTCCTGAAAGGGGGGTGGGGGTGAGGATGAGGACTGACTGCAAGTAGGGTGAAGGCGATGTTCTAAAATGAGACTGTGATGATGATTGTATGACCATCAATTTATTAAAAGTTATTGAATTGTACACTGAAGGATAAACTTTAAAGCATGTAAATTATTTCAATAAAGATGTTAAAAATGTGTCATTGGCCTAACATTTTTATACCTAGTAAATCAATATACAGGCTACCAACCTGTAGGTTGGGTGAGAGGAGTTATCTGAGGGGGTCTCTAAAATTTATTCTACTTCTTTCTGAATCTGATGCCTAGAGTTGACTAGAAACGCTGTGTCAATGTCTTTCATGCCAGGTGGTGCCTGGGTCTCCATTAGAACCAAAGTGGTTTTGAAAAGACTTGGAGTTCCCGAACTATTCTTTGATTGAGTGCACAATTTCCACATTACTTCAGCTTTTGAAAGTGAAACCCAGAAAGGCAGCATCCCCAGGAAGGGAGGAGAGGTGTGCAGAGTTACTGTTCCGCCTGGACTTTTCCTGTGTAATGGAATATGTTGACTCAGCTGCTCTGAGGGCATTGGCTGCGTTTAACCCCTGATGACTTGGCTCAAACAGTGGCCTCATTTTTCCCTGTCTCTGACCAAGCACCCATTGGAGTTGTGGATCAGTCAGGTGGGTCCCAAGGTGAGGTGAGGGTTAAGGTGAAAGCTGTGTCTCATCTCACCTTGCTCAGCCACTGCTACCATCTTTCAACACTTTTTTCCTGTCTCAAACATTTGTACTAGATCGTGACAAAGTCCTGTGTGTGGCCTTTACCACACCTGCCCTCCTGAGCTAAGTTCTGGCTCCAGATTGGCCCCTGTGCCTGTCACCTGTTCCAGCCTCAGCTTCTTCTAGAATGATGGGGGGGGGGGGTGTCTGCCAGATCTTTGGGCCTCCCTGGAGGAGAGTCAGCTGCCTGGACTGCTGGGATCCTGGCCCCCAGAAGCTTTCCTGCCTGCCCTCTCTGCCCCAAGGCCGCCTGCTCTGCCACACAGAGGGCTGTGCCACTCAGGCCTCTTCTCTCTGCAAGTGCAGGGCTTTCAAGGAACCAGGGAGTCCAGAAGCTCAAGGCTTCACAAAGATCAAATCCTCATAGAAAACCCAAGAATCTCTCCATAAAAGTCCTCAGAACTGGAGGTCAATCTCAAGTACCTACCGAGTTTCTGATGGTCTCCAGAAGCTGCTCTTGGGTGAAAATACTAAAATCTCTGTTTTTCCCACAATAATAGAACTCGAGAACTGAAAGTGATTTTTGAAATTAACTAATCCAATCCTTTATTTTGCAGATAGGTAGGCTGAGGTTCAGGAAAAGAAAGTGGGCTGTTTAAGTTCTAATAACTAAGGCAGGGATGGTGGGGCTTTAGCTTCAGCTATGAGAAAAACACAAAGAAAAGAAAGAAACTATTTATTTCCCTCTTCAGCATGATGGGTCACCACTATGCTCAGGTCACTGAGCCAGAGTAATGTCCTATTCCTTGGGAACGCACGCTCATGCCCTAAGACTCCATCTGTGGTTGTGTTAGCTTATTCACCTCTTTAATCCTCTAAGCCAACTGCTGCAATTGTACTCCTGTTCAAGGTAAGGGCTCTCTAGAGTCAGACAGAGTTCAAATCTTGCATCTACCATAAAGTGTTTGTGAAACCTGCCCCAGTTATTAAAACTTAGTGCTTTAAAAATGAACCCTGGCTGGTGTGGCTCAGTGGAATGAGCAGCGGCCTGCTCAACTAAAGGGTCACAGGTATCATTCTCAGCCAGGGCACATGCCTGGGTTGCAGGCCAGGTCCCCAGTAGGGGGCACGTGAGAGGCAAACAGACACTGATGTTTCTCTCCCTCCCTTTCTCCCTCCCCCTCTCTCTAAAAATAAATAAATAAAATCTTTAAAAAATGTGTTCTTGGGGACAATTGCACAGTATTTTCTTTGTATGTAGGAATTTAGATAAATATGCTGTGTCACAAACAATAGCAATTGTGAGAATGGCAAGGAATCCTTTAAGAAGAGCACTTGTCTAGCCAGCTAACCCTAATGTGGACATGGATCAGTTTAGTTTAGTTGCTCAAGTGTGGGAAGGGAGCCCAGAGGTTTGGCTCTTTAGCCGCACCAAGCTCTCCCAAATCCTTCAAATACGATCATGTGGCCTTTTCTTCCAGCAGTGCTTGGTTTATCATTTTAGAAGGCAGCCCCTTCCGCACTGGGCCACTTTTTATTGTTTGAAAGCCTTACTCATATCGAGCTGAAGTCTCTTTTGTTTTCTTTGGGCAAATGATTTCTATAGGCTTTGTTCTTATCTGCTCCACCAGGCTCTTGTGAGGAAAAGATGAGAAAAGAGGTAAGAAAATGCCTGGAAAAGTAGTTGATTCACTTTCAAGGTATTATTTTTATGATAATAAATATATAAAACATAGCTTTTCATTTTTTGATACATTTATTCAATTAACAGATTAAAGAAAATATCACATATACTGTACCTTGATTTCAGTTATGAATGGCTTCTGCTTATCCCAGAGAAGTGGTCTGGCTAATCCTAGAGTTGGTGGAATTGTAATTGGTTTGTATTTATTTTCTATTGCTGTGTAAAAAATTACCACACCCTAGGTGGCTTAAAACAACACTCATTCATATTCTCAGCTCCGTAGGTCAGAAGTCCAGGTGGCTTCTACTGAAGGTGTCAGAAGGCCAAAATCAAGGTATCACTTGGTGGAACTCCTGTCTGGACACTCTGGGAAGGAATCTGCTTCCAAGCTCATTTGTGATTTTGGTCCAATTAAGCTCCTACCAATTGTTGACTGAGATCCTCACTGCTTGCTGTTGGCAGCCCCTAGAGGCCATTCTACCATTCTTGTATATGGTTCCCTCCATCTTCAAAATCAGCCATCATCTGTCAAATTCTTCTCTTCACATCTCTCTGTGTTCCCCTTCTGCCTTCTGGTGGAATGATTATCTTGGGTCCACCTGAATAATTTTCCTTTTGCCATAAAGCAAAACATAATCACAAGAATGATATCCTATTTAAAGCTTTCACCCATAGTCAAAGGAGAGGAGATCATACAAGGAAAAGGGCCACTGGGGGTCATCATTAGAACTGTGGCCAACACACAGTTCAATAATCATAGCTGAGGAAGGACATGGATGCAGCAACATGTCTGGGGCAAGGCCGCTGTGGCATCACCAGGACTCAG